CTGCGCCCTGCGGACCTGGCCCCCGCGGGCACTCCTGCAGCGCCTCCGGGGACCTCCAGAGGGCCCTGCCCTGGGACCTGCCGACGCACCGGGGCAAGACCCGGATTTGGCAGGAGGGGAGGCCCTCAGCGCGCCCAAGGCCACCTGAGAGGAGATCTGTCTCACACACTGAACTGAGGCCGGGGAAAGGGGGATGGTGTCAGAAAAAGGTCCATCTAGCCTCCGGCACAGGTGGTGGCAGGTGCCCTTCTGGCTCTGGAACGGTAGAAGGGGGGCTGCAACCTCGTAAGGCCCAGAGGCTTCTAGGAGCTAGGAACCCTGCATTCTGGGCTTAACTCCGCACGGCCTTGGGCACAGTCTTCATTTTCCCATCTGTACCCTGGACCACCTCTAAGGGCTTCTCCGGCGTAGGTGGTCTGGACACTCACGGATGGTCCCCAGGCCAAGGAAGGAGCAGAGGTGGGCAGGATCCCAAAGAGGGCCACAAGGATGGCTCACAGCCAAAGCGATGGGCCAAGCAGGACAGGGTCTGGGTTCCCGCCACAGCAGGAGGAACCAGTGGAGAGACTCAGAAGACTTCCCTGACACCTGCCCGAAGAGGGGCTAGACCAAGCGACTGCATCTCCTCTATCAGCTTCTTAAAACGCCCGGAAAACCACCGGGTCAGTTTGGTGCTAGAGGCCGGAGGCTGGACATGTCCCCCAGAGGGTCCTGAAGCTCCAGAACCAGGGCTGGTGGATTCACAGATGGGGGTCCTCTGGGGCCGGCTGCACCCATTTTCTGGAGGTTTTGCCAACACCCACAGTGTTTCACAGCTTCCTGGTTTCAGAATATTTATTCAAAAACAGGGATTGAAAAAACTGTACAGAGTGTCTGCTGCTGAGAACTCAGCCCTGCCCCCGTGTGACTCCCCCAGCTGCCTGGCAGTGCCCCCTCTTTGGGTTGCCCTCTGCCAAGCCCAGCCAGTCCATTCCAGTCAAAAGGGTTATCAGTGGAAGCAGCAGGAATCTGCGGGGAGGTGGGGAGAGAAGCATGGCCCCCAGCCACCCCCAGCCCTCCTCCCTGATCCCCACAAGGGGGAAGTAGGCTGGGAAGCCCTAAGGGAAGGGGAGTGCACAAGTGACCCCCAAAGTGGGGACACTAAGGATGCTCCCTGCACCCAAGCACAGAGCTAGAGGGAGTGGAGCCCCCTACCTGGGACTGCCGCAGCTCCCAGAACCCTGGGCCAGAAACTGCACCCACTCTGAGCACAGGAGCTCCCACAGACGGGGGCCAGGCAGGGGTGCATCCATGCTTCTGAGCATTAGTGGTGTTTGGGACCCCAGGCTGGAGTCTCCTCGGGCAGGTGGGGTGCAGAGGCAGCCCCTGCCGGCGGTCCTGCCTGCTCCCGTGCCTGTGCCTCAGCCGGCCTCAGTAGGGCGAGAATTTCTGCCGCTCAGCTTTCTTGCTCCCATTGGCTGCTGCCATCTTGGCAGTGTAGGCCGCCAACCCCGGCGGCGGCCCTGGGGAGGCAGGTGGTAGAGCCAAGAAGGGCACGGGCTTGAGGCCGATGAAGTTGGACAGGGAGATGGCGTAGGGCGTGCCCAGCAGGCCTGGGGGAGCCGTGGGCAGGGCCGTCAGGGGCGGCGAGAAGGGGGTAGACAGGTCTGCGGGGGCCGAGCTGGGCGTCCCCCCAGAGGTAGACTTGGCCGTTTCTAGACTGGAGAGAGGGATATGGGGGGGAGATGAAGGAGAAGTTGGGGTGAGGGAACAGCGAGCGAGGGCAAATTCGGGAGTGAGGTTAGACGAAAGACGGGAGAAGGGGGCGGAGGACAGCGACTCGAGGTGGACACGTTTGGAGAGAGGATGGGAAAGGTGGAAGAGCAGGAATGGAAGGAAAGACAGCAGATGTCACAGGGGCAATGGGAGAAATGGGGGGCCCAAGGCCCAGGGCGCAGAGCCAGGTGTGGGGAAAGAGGACACCGGCGATCGGGCAACTGCGAGGGAGGCAGAGGAGGGGCCCGGACAGAGAGGACATCTCTCCTCACCCCACCTATGCCCTTCTCAGGCAGGCAAGTCCCCGTGGCCTGTGACCTGTGACCCCCACGCCCCAGCCCACACTCACCAGGCAGTGATGAGGTACTGAGCCAGAGCGATGGAGACCGGGGACCCAGTGATGGTCACGTGCCGCTCGCCGGCGCCCTCAGCCTGGTTCCCAATCTTGATGTGAGCCCCTGACATCTGCCTGATCTCACTGATCTTGCTGCCCTGGCGCCCGATCACGCAGCCAATCAGCTGGGGGGAGGGCAGAATTCAGCCCCAAGAAGGCCCAGGACCCCTGAGCCCCTCCCCTCCCTCACACCACCCCCTCCCCTGCTCACGTCGTTGGGAACCAAGAACTCCTGAGAGCTGGTCTGTGCGCCAGGATCCAGTCCTAGGGAGAAGAGGGGTTGGGCGTGGTTCTGGGCCTTTCCTGCCTCCCCTGCTCCACGCCAGGGGGCTGCCTGGCCCCTTGGGATGGGCCCCTGCCTGCTCCCGCAGGGGCTGCTCACCTGGCACCATGCTGGACGAGGCGAAGGGGACTGCGTGGCCGGAGAGCTGCTGGAGCTTGGTGACCTGTGCCAAAGGAGCGGGGTCAGGACTCAGGCAGCCTGATTCAGGAAGGGGTGCCTGGGGCTGTGGTCACTCACCTCAGCTGGGCTCACAGCCCCATACTGACTCTGGACGGAGAAGCCCTGTGCGGACGAAGTGGGTGAAAGGGGGTCACTATGACGGGTTCAGGGCAGTTTGGCCACAGTCACTCCTCCCTGCCTCTCCCTGGACCCCCAATTCCTCCTTCCATGCCCTTCATCATTTCAGTCCCCCTTTTCCAGTCATACTGCGACCTCCCTGCTGTTCCCCTCACCTGGTTGGCGGAAAGAAGGACGGTACCTAAGGAGAGGCTGGGGTGATACGGGATGGTGGCTCCTTTGGGTGGGGACTGGAAGGCACAAATGGGGCAGCTTTATCAGGACCCTCTCAGGCCACCCTGGCCTGTGCTGTCAAGACCCTCCCCAGGACCCCCAGAGATATGCAACCGACATCCTGGAGCTCCTGACCCATCCCTGCTGCCCCCACCTGCTGTCACATGCATAGGATTCGGGCCCAGCCCCTGCCCCCTCTCCCTGGCCCCAAACCCGAACCTCCAGGATAACAGCACAGATCTGGCGCACACACAGGATGATGGCATCAGGCACCCCGGACACGGTGACAGCGCGCTCTGTGGAGTTGGGGAGCAGGTCCCCTGCCACCTGCACCTGGGCACCTGTAGTCTGCAAGCAGAGAACAGGGGCCACTTCCGTCTCCTCTCCCAGCCCAGAGAAGGGCTGCACAGGCTCAGAGCTCCCCGGGGGATTGGAAGCCTGAAGCCCAGGTCCTCCCTGGCAACAGGAGGGTGGGACTTCCTGGGGGTGGTATCCCCTTCCCCTCACCTCTCGGATCTCCTTGATCTTGGTGCCCGCCTTCCCAATCAGCGAGCCACACTGGCTGGCGGGGATGACAAGGCGTAAGGTCACTGGAGGCCTGGAGACGGTCCCACCGTTTGCAGGAGCAGAGCAGAGATCCTGGGCAAGAAGGCTGTGGGTTGGCCCCCCATGTCCCCGCTGCTCCCGCACCCTGGAGGGAACCCTCCCCCAGGCCCACTCTAATTCAAATCCCTGCCTGGGCTTGGCCTCCCCTCCCACCGGTAGCAACAGTCCTGTTCCTCCAGGGGAGCCAGCCTTGGCCTCCACCCCGGCCAGGCACACACCTCGTCCAGCTTGAAGGCGATCATGGAGACCGCGTGGAAGACGGCCGCCGTAGACCCAGTGATGGTGGTGATGCGCTCCGGGCAGGAGCCCTCGGAGATGGTGATCCGGGCGCTGCTCTGCGGGGACAGGACAAGCGTCGGGCAGCAGGGCTCCTTCACTTTCTCAC